AAGCTTCGGTCTCTGTTAGACGGCATAGGTTGACCTTGCTCTTCGCTCCATGTCTCCAAACATTCTACCCAAGGAGGCGTCGGGCCTTGGAAAGCCGGACGAGGGTTAGGATTTGGATTGGGAGCCACCGGTGGTAGGTTCTCAACCTCAGGCTCGGAGTTAGCACCATCCGAAAAGCCTTCAGCATGGTGATCATCCAAAAGGATTGGATGATCATTTTCTGGCTTTTCTCCAAACCATCCAGCATTGCCTTCGTTCGGGAAGTACGGGTCGTCGTGGGGATGGGGTCCAGCCATGTTATCTACGCGAGAATTGGGGTAACGAAATGATTATTAGGCGTACTAGATAATTATAGTAACACAAAATATTCCTAATGCTTTCCTTGTGGTAGTGTTGGTAAGTTTTTAGACTTGTTGCCATATCACAACCATTCTTGGGCATATGCTAATCACTCCTTAGACCAGCATAGTTGATCAGGCTATGCCACTCCCAGGACTGACCATACATCCCCGAGCTTACTTGTGATATTCAACAATCGTAATACTTTTGTTTTTGTCATTGTGGCACTGGTTTTAGTATGAATGCAGGCATGTATACTTAGTTAAATATTTTATTATATAAAAGTATAAACTCTTGGTCAGAGTATTTTAATCCCATTGTATTTATAGTCTGTATATCTTTTATGGGTTGATATACTCGATTCACTATAAACAATGCTCTGATACCAATCTGTCACACCCCAAAACCAAGAACGGCGGAAACGTTCTGGGGTGGAGGACGTCATGTAAAGTATCACAACAGTGTAAAGTAGTAAACAAGCAACAACATCATCCATTGCATTAATAGTAGAATTTTAATACATGTGTGTTCTTTCATAGTATACGACATGATAATAATAAGAAATCAAAATAAAAGACGAGTCTTGACTGCTCCGTCTTCTCAAAACCTGGTCAGCATACCTGTCTACTGGTGACCTGAGAATACAAGTTATTTTGAAAGCGAGTATCAGCTTTAAAGCTGGTGAGATCATAAGTAATTTAGTGTCATTGATTTGAAAATATGTAAAGAAAAGACTTGTAATAGTTTTATGAAAACTTTGTATAAGTATGAAAAACCCTAGAAAATCCCATATTTCCTATTAGTATAAAAGCAGTCTTCTATCAAGACTCAACTGTTTTGAAGATTTGCACTTCTGCAAAAAATGAAGGTTTTTCCCCTAGTATAACTATTATTATCTAAATATAGCTATACATAAATGTGTATGTGAATAAATCACAAAGTAACTGTAATAGGGAAAATAATATTTTACTTCAGCAGTGACCCTACTGGCTATAAAGTGATTAAAACACAGACTCCAAGTGGTATTTAATGAACAATACGCCTCGAAAAGTCTAAATGAATGAAATGCAGACTCCAGGTGGTATTAAATGAATAATACGCCTCGAAAAGTCCAAATGAATGAAATGCAGACTCCAGGTGGTATTAAATGAATAATATGCCTCGAAAAGTCCAAATGCAGACTCCAGGTGGTATTAAATGAATAATACGCCTCGAAAAGTCCAAATGAATGAAATGCAGACTCCAGGTGGTATTAAATGAATAATACGCCTCGAAAAGTCCAAATGCAGACTCCAGGTGGTATTAAATGAATAATACGCCTCGAAAAGTCCAAATGAATGAAATGCAGACTCCAGGTCTAGGCTGGTTAGTCCCGTGAGGAGTAGTGTATATACTAGTGCACCTTCATATAGCATGTAATATATTTATTAGACTTATTTGTATACAATATTGTCTCTTCATATAGCATGTAATATATTTGTATAGACTCATGAATGAACTGACTCTTGTGTGATCCCTTGCACTAGGAATAGTAAATAGTATCTCCTAACTATACCCATTATAGTTACTAGTAATATATGTATATGAATAAATGGAAGTATGCCTTTGCTACCCAAAGGTACTGAACTGCCTGATAGAACTTTTATGTCTATATAGGTATACATAATATATAACTAATATTTAGACGACCTTCGAACAAATAACAGCATATCCTGAGTCCACAACCAAAAAAGGAACAGGAAATAAGGCGGGTTAGCAGTCCTAAGTCCTTTAAACATTACTTATATAACTATACATATATAGGAATGCATTTGACAATATCACAGTTTAAAGTATAAGAAATCCCTTATTTGGAATATAGTTTAAAGTACATGAAAACCTTTGTTTGAAACATAGTCATAACAGAATTTGAAAGGAAATATGTAGTTTAGAAAACAAGTTTGATAAAGAGTTCAACGTATAAAAGCGTTCGAGAAATCATTTTGAAGTAGTTTACTTGATAAAACAGCTAAAAGTGTAGTAAATCCATAGTTTGATAGTTATTAATCACATGTGTTTGATATGATAACTATCATGATTCAACTTGTATTCCCCCCCCCCATAAAAGCGTTTAAAAACATTTAAAAGGTTAATTAAGGGGTATGAACTCACCTGCAGTGAGTGGTTTGGATGGAAGTGTCGGATAGGATGCTAAGTGTCAAGTAAGGACTTGAACACACACACGGATCCTATTTAACATGTAATGATACATATATGTATCCAATTAGTCATTTAACAACCAATTTATCAAGTAAAGACACCCTAATACAAGGATAACACTTTGTTTCAAGTGCTAGGAGTACTAAAGGGTTGCATCTAAAGAGAGTATGGTCTCACATTGGAATTTACTTCCCATATGGTAACAACACATGAGTTTACGGCCCATGGTCATTTCCCCCATGAGTTTACGGCCGTAAACTCATGGTAATTTGTGCTATTGAGTGATTTAAGGTCTTATACCCCTCAAGGAAGTGTTCTAGGTTTGTATCAAAGGCTTAGGAAGGGACTAGGGCTCAAAATGGCCCTTCATTGGAGTTTACGGTTCTTGGACCACTCCTTGGAGTTTACGGTCGTAAACCCATGAGTTTACGGCCGTAAACTCATGGTCACTCTTACCATTTCGTGATTTGGGGTTTTTAGCTCATGCATGCAAGGTTCTAGTCCAATATCCAAGCCCTAGAAGGTGTTGGGGGTACTTAAACACCACTTGATGGTGTTTACGGTTCAAGGAGATCCCTTGACCGTAAACCCATGTGTTCTTGGGGATTTTTGATGTTTTCCAATGGTTTAATTAGTATACTACGTAAATAACTAGTTAGGAGGAGTGCACTTACTTATAGGAAGCTTGTAAGAGTGTTTAAAGTTCAAAAACACTAGTGTGTGTTCTTGGTGTTTTGAAGAACAATTGAAGATCTACACAAATGGAATGATTTCATGGATGAAATCATGTAAGATCACTAGATTAAGGTAGAGAACAACTAATCAAGGCAAGAAACACTTACTTTCTTGAAGATTTTGAAGAAAAGTCGGATGATACTTGAGAGAGAAATGAGTTTTCTAGGCTTGAAATGGTGAAAAAGTGATAAAAATGACTAAGTGTCATATTTATACTCCTTGGGGTTTACGGCCGTAAACACCATGTTTGGGCCGTAAACTCCAAACTCTTAGAGTTTTGAGACTTTATTGATGCACAATAAACCCTAGGGTATCCTCTCTGCAGTTATCTCCTGAAGTACTAAGCTTTAATACACTCAGACGAACTTTATACCGGCTAAAATTTAGCAGAAAAGTATTTGACTTTTATTTGAAGTGCTAGACTGTAGGGTTTGTACGAATGGAAATTTCGGGTTGTCACACACACACACACTCTCTCTCTCTCTCTCTCGGATTCAATACGATAAATGGTTGAGATCCAAACTAACTGAAGCAGAGAAGAGGGAGGCAGAGATTACGAAAATTCCCAAAAAGTTAAGGCTGCTTACCTTGGTTTAATCGAGGAGAAGAAATCACTTGAAAGAAAGGTGGATTCAATCCCGAAAGAAAAAGATTTGGTTGAAATGAATTTGGTTGAATCAAATCGTTTAGTTGATGTTTTGAAGAGATATATTGAAAAAATGATGAAAGAGAAGATGGAGATTGATGACGATAGAGATGTTCAAGAGAGAAAGAAAAACGAGCTACATGATTCTGTTTATAGGCTGAATGAATTGGTCTATAAGCTTAAAAAGGGGGAAGAACAATTACTTATGAAAGTTGTTGATTTGGAGAACAGACATGCCATGGATTCTGAAAAGGAAGCCAAAATGAGTATGGAGATCAATGTCTTGGTGCAAGAAAAACTAGAATTAGAGGCAAGTATTCAAAACCTCACTCAAGAAAAGTGTTTGGTTTCCAAAAATTTGCAGGAGGCTTTGAAGATGATAGAACACCAGAAACTTACAATCAACCAAATGTTATAAGAGAAAGCAAAGATCGAAGAACAGTCTCACAAATTCAAGAACATAATCGCAACACTTGAGAACTCCAACAAGATTCAAATCGATAAAATCAAGCAACTAGAGTCTAAAATCAACAACCACAAAGCTGTATTCGATCGAGCCACAATCGAATCTGCCATTTCTCTCTCTCGTGTATATATATATATATATATTATATATATATATATATATATATATATATATATATATATATATATATATATATATATATATATATATATATACGAGAGAGAGAGAGAGGTGTGACCCCTTGTATATTAAAATAATTATATTTTCTTTTTTCTTTTTTTTTTTAAAATAACAAAAAGCTCATAATGGTCCCTATAGTAGTGAAATGACAGAAATGTCTTTCACTTAACGGACAAAAATTGACAGAGTTGACAATAAGGACCTTTTGTTTAAAGTTTTGAAACCAGAAGAACCATCCGTAAGGTTTTTTAAAGTTAGGTACAAAACTTCACAATTTATGAAACCACAGGGACCATTTATGAAGTTTTGTAAAAAAAAAAAAATTAATGACCGAATTTATAACAATCAAAAATATATTACATATCCCAAAAATAAAAAGGAAATTTTACTTTTTTTTATTTTTTTATTTGTCTTAAACTCCTTCGACCATCTTCATTCGTCTTCCTGAATTTGATAACCATCTTCGTTCTTTGGTCATCCGTGTGTGTGGGAAATATAGTATGGAGGCAAGAGGACAGAGCTCGATAGCAGCAGCTCGGTACACTCTACCAGCAACCCGATTGTCATCCGAAGACATACTTTTCTGTATCGATGTTGATCCTGAATCCCTCATTGAAATGAAGAATACCAGCGCCAGCGGAAGACCTTTCACCAGATTAGAATCAATTAAGCAGGCTATTCTTCTGTTTATCAATGCTAAGCTTGCTATTAATCCAGATCATCGATTCGCCTATTCTGCACTCGGCAAAACCCCCTTTTGGGTAAATCCTTTTCCTCTATTCTTCGTATTCTCGATTTCTTTTCTATTTGCGTAATCCGTTGATGTTTGCATGCTTTGATATAGTTACCCCTTCGTTTCAAAAATGATGAATAAATATTCTCAAATGCAAATTCAAGATAGGTTAGGTCTCATTTCTAGAACCATGATGTTGAAATCAAGTGAAAATTTTCTTGATAGGTTGGTAGTTTATAACAGCTTTGAAGCTTGAAATTCGTCCATTTGACTAAGAAAGATGCAGCAACCCTTGGATACTTTAACCCAATTCTGTTGTATACAAACCCTAGCATACTTTACCTAATCCTCTTGATCTTACTGTTCTTCTAAATTGAAACATTGCTAAAAACATTATCCACTTAATAACCTAGTAAAGGCCTATTGTGGCTTTGATTGCTTACTTTTTCTCCTTGTAGTCTTTAAGCCTTATTGTCTGCTTTATGGTTTACGCTTTCTTGCATGTATACATACAGCTTAAGAAGGAGTTTAGCAGTGAAGTTGAGTCTGCAATTGCTGCATTTCGAGCCATCACAGTTGACTCTTCAGCTGGTCATGCGGATCTCACGCATCTCTTTAAAGTTGCAAATCATGAAGCTAAAAAATCCCGTTCACAGAATCGGTTACTCAGGGTGGTTAGTTTCATTTGTAAATTATTTTATTTAACTATAATAAATAAATAAAAATATTAACAAGCAGTATAATTATCTATGTGTGGTTTCCACTTTCTCCAGATTCTAATATATTGTAGATCATCAGTAGTGCCACAACACCAATGGCCCACAAACCAAAAGCTGTTCACGTTTGATGTGGTTTACCTACACGATAAACCGGGAACCGATAATTGTCCGCAGAAGGTGTACGATGGTCTGGTGGATGCCCTTGAGCAGGTGAGTGAATACGAGGGGTATATCTTTGAGAGTGGTCAGGGGCTGACACGTGTCCTCTTTCGCCACATGTGTGTCCTGCTGTCACATCCACAACAACGTTGTGTCCAGGATGACATTGATATTCCTAAATCTCTTACCAAGAAGTCACCCGCACCGGATTCTGCCACCCCTACCCCTGCTGCTGCTGCTGTTGCTGATCAAGAATGTGTTCCTGTCTCCAGTCAGTGACTTGTTAATTTCTTGGTATTGTATATGAATATGTTAACAATCCGTGTTCTAGTTGTTTGAAATGGTTTGCATTGTGCATTTGGAGTTATTTGGACTAAAATCGTGCAATTGAAACTATTCTGGGCTAAAAATATTGCAACTTTATGGACTGAATTCTCTAAGAAGATAGAGATATGATTTTTTATTGTAGGTAGTTATTTTTGGGCTATATAAGATGCTCTCTTTTTTAGTTATTTTTGGTTTTACTCTTTGTTTATGAACTAATGAATAAGATAACTTCATCATGTCCGTGAATGTTGGTCATATCAACAGAATCATGTAACTTGTGTTCTTATTCATGTTATATATTTCCACCTTTTAGCGTTTCCCCCCAACCTTATGCATGTTTTTTAGTACATGTTCAAACAATATGAACAATAACTCAAATGTGGATAAACCATGGTTGTCATGTGTGCAATAGCACAATTCTTCCACGTTTCTTCAACATGGGCATTTTCCATGACGTTAAAATACAAAGTCTTTCACGGGATCTTTGCTTTGATTATGGACAAGATTTCACTAGAGATCCAGAGAGGGGTACCATAGTGTATGCTTTTGGCTTAGGCATTGGTCTCATGACAAAGACTAGGACCAAGTTGAATGTTAGGCTAGATGCTTTGTTGGAAGGGCGGAGGGTTTATGGTGCAATTTCAGCTAAGAGTGAAATATAGAACGAACGTAAGTATGTATTATTGAGCAAGTTCTACACCCAAATGAGAGGTTGAGGATCCGATGTCCAGTGGTGGACCTAGAGCTATGGGAGTGGTTGAGGATCCGATGTCCAGTGGTGGACCTAGAGCTATGGGAGTGGGGGCACATGCCCCCGATGGCTAAAAATATTTACACATAAATACTCAAAGTATTTTAAAGTTTACTTGCAAGACCCTTTATGTTTTTGAAAAAATTCAATAGTGCCCCCAACAATATTTTTTTGATGGAATTGTCATTGTCGGGTCCATGATACATAAGAAGGGGTGACGAGGGGGAAGGGAGTGTCAAAGATGGTGTTACCCACCGCATAAGTTAGATGGTTAAAATGAAACCAGTTTCTTTGTGATAGGTTTCGCCGATGGGACACCCTTACCCTTGTAGTATTAGTGTATATCAACTTTTACAAGTTATTTGGACGATTTAGTATGAACGCTTGTGGCCCAAAAATATTTCTAATAGTTTTGAAAACCTTTATAGCTAATATTTGATAACTGTCCAAACTCCGTCACTGCCTTGGAGACAAACAAAAATTGTTTAATTATGGATCGTATGAGCATTAGGGTGGATATATGTAACATGTGGAGTCGGGGCTAGTCTAGATAGCTAAGAGGAGGGAGATAAAGTCAACAACTTTTGGTTTTAATGGAGTATATGGATGGTTTTCAACTTTCGAATGGACTGGACCGATGGCTGTGGAATGGCAATGGGGAAAGCACCTTCTCGGTTAAAGACCTGAAGCACTTGATTGTTGATGGTAATAGCGGGAATGGTAACATGTTTACATGGATCAACTTGATACCACTCAAGATTAATTGTTTTGTCTGGCGGATGCTGAAAAATAAGATTCCTATATATTCAAACTTGCTCAGATTACGGTTACTTCAAGTCTTTGCCCTTTCAGGTGTCGGAAGAGAATCTAGATTACACTTTTTTGTCTTGCTTTGCTGCTACAAAGGTGTGGATATGGCTGGTAAATTGGTCCTCGGTTCTTCATCATCCAATGTCCTGTGATTTTAAGGAGATGCTCCAAGCGAATATTGGCAGCAAGAAGATGCAAAAGTTGAAGAGTAAATTACACGAATGGTCCCTATGGTTTGGGTAATTTGCACGTTTGGTACCTAACTTATTTTTTTAACTCGAAAAGTCCCTACTGTTTGTTTTTGTTACGCGTTTGGTCCCTACTATTTGTTTTTGTTACGCTTTTGGTCCCTGCCTTACCTAAAAAAACTATTATTTAAATAGGGAAAAATGATGGGGTAGGTAAGGTAATGTAAGGGGGTGAGGTTGGAGGTGTGTTTATTTAAATAAATTAAAAAATCAATGGCAAAATAGTCTTTTTAGGTAAGACAGGGACCAAGCGCGTAACAAAAACAAACAGTAGGGACATTCCGAGTTAAAAAAAATAAGTTAGGGACCAAACGTGTAAATTACCCTAAACCATAGGGACCATTCGTGTAATTTACTCAAAGTTGAAGCTTTCTCTCGTGTATACCACTATATGGATGATATGGAAAGAGCAGAACGCTATCGTCTTTAGGAACACAAGGCGAACAATTATGCTTATGGAGGATGACATTAGTATATGCACTTTTAACTAGATTAAGTTTAGGTCTAACTTGAATTTGATTGATTTGCCTAGTTGGTGTAATTCTCCCATTTTAAATGTTTTCTTGTAATGGCTTGAGCTTCTCGTTTAAGTATTTGTTTTGTTTGCTAATGATTTTTTGCTCGCCGTTCCAAAATAACTTATCATGTCCTGTTAAAACTCCTTATTCACATAAGTAATTCTAAACACCCCTTATTTATGTCAAGAAACTCTTTTTAGTTTGTTACATCCAAATAAAAAAACTATTTATTAGGAGTAATAAACCATAATAAGTCAACGAGCACTTCAAATAAAAAAATTAGAAAATCTCAAACGCCTGGAAGACTAATATAGGCTCCAACTCCCCTCTTATTAGTTACTCGGCCTTATTCCTAACATTTATTAATGATATTTGTGCATTGCTCACCAACGTTCCTCTTTATTTCCGATCTTATTGCCGGTATATGCTGAGTTTTCCTTTTGTCACTAATCTAGTTATTTCTTATTTGTGGGATGACATTTCATTTGCAAAAGCAAGGTCCCTTGCCTCATTTTTATAAATACATGTAATAAATAAATTATTCTTACTTCACTAATGTACGCCACTCAAAAACCCTTATCAATTACCATATCTCGCTACACTTTGATCAACATTAACATCCTTTTTGCTCAAAACACAACTTTCATATTACCATAAAAGACTTCAAATGATCATATTTCAACTAGTGGAGTGTTGCATCAAAACAAAGAACCAAAAACATCATGTATATGCACGGGGAAACAAAACGAATAACCACAAAACGATCCCACAAATGCACATCAAAACTTCCATCCATTCATTCGCCACAAAAAAGAACCAATCCAATCAAAGACAGAGATTTTATAAAACAAAACCATCATAAAACTTCTCTCTCCATATCCTTCTTGTTTGCTATTAGTTCGCCTCTTCTTTCGGATCCTCAACTTCAAGCAAGTCATCATAGGATACAGGCACACGGATCCTTTCATGAACAGGTCGTTTCTTCACCTGTCTCTCTTCAATGTCCAATTCCCCATTTTGCCCTTCTCTCCTCCCCACCTCTTCTTTCACACCTTCTACTTCTGCTTCAGCTTCAGCTTCAGACCAACCCTGTTTGCTCTGGTTTGCTGCTTTCCTCAAATCCGGTGGTTTAAATTGCTTCTGCAAGAACAATAATCCACCAATCATGATCTTATACTAATCATCATTCATAGTCAATAGTCATACATGTATTATTAATGAATAAAAATGTATGTAAAATTACCTCAAACTCCCTCCCTTTTTTCATTATCTCCTTATATACATTTGGATCACGTTTTCTAAGGATGTTCCACAAAATTCCACCACCATTCCTATATCGCCCTCCATCTGAAGTCATCTGACCACCACATGCCTGAATCGCATCCACCTGTCACCATTACATCATCATTAAGTAATCCAATCCAAGCTACAATACCAAAAATATGCACTCAACTATCAAAGCTAACAAACATAGCACTCTTTATTCTAAAGAAACAGCAAATCAAAGCCATACAAACACACCATCAAGATATAATCAATGATCCACAGACTGAAACTGATAAAATGGCTTCTGGAAGAGAAATCTGCGATTTTAGGGAAACAACATTCAGCATCAGAGTTCAGACACCAACAAAAAATGAAGTAATCTATATACATATATAAAGATCGAACATAAATCTTGGTTTCCTACAGAATAATGCTAAGGAACCCATGTTTTCTAGTTATGCAATATGCATGGATACAAGTTGTTTACCCCAATGCTAAATTAATACACAATAAGGTTGATTTGATTCATATATTAAAGATTAAAGATTAAAAATTAAAAATTAAAAATTTTCCAAGAAAACTATACCTCCTTCACAAGATCACTAACAGCAGGGACACCCAGACAACCAACTGCAGTCCATATCAGGTAAGACTTTCTTTCTTTCAAACGCCTGCAAGTATCTAAAACAAATCTGCAAATGACATAAGACATTACAACCCATAAGTCAAAGGGGGGAAATGATTAGGGTTAGGGAAAAATAAGGCAAATACCTGTTAATGTCCAAGACGCCAGGGGCTGAAGCCACTTTCTTTTTCTTATTTTTTTTCTTATTTCTACGTTTCTGACTTTTACTCTTAGGCTCTTGAGATACTGTGTCACCATCTCCGCTGCTGTTTTGTCCCAACTCAGCTTGTTGATAGTTCTCAACCAATTCTCCTTCTTCTACATCAACCATATCAACATCTTCCATGTCTTCAACATTGTCTGCATCAAGTATTGAATCAAGCAGGCTCTCTTCTCCCTCCATGAGTAAAAAGGTACTGCAAAGACATCAAGAACACAAATTAAGCCCGTGTCTCAACTTTCTCCCCTAAATCCTCAGAAAGTACAATTGAAATGTTCATTGACACAAAACATCAAACACCTTGGATGCAACCCTTTTGCTCTAAAACTATCTTTTCTGACAAAATTGAACTTGGATGATTAGTTCCAGTATCTATCACACAACATTCGAATCTCAAAATCAGTAGCCACATAAACATCATCCATTGACTCTATACTTGAAACATTTCACAGAAAAGATTTATCAAAATCATCACGTATAATCTTATAAACAGATTAAAGCATCTCAACGACTTCTAGCAATTTAGGATTTTCAAAAGATTACCCCCCAAAAAAAGATAGGTTAAAACCAATATTTGAAGTTTTGAACTTACTGCCCAAAGAGTTGAAAAAGAAGACAGCAAGTCGGAGAGAGGCCGGAAACGGTGAATCACGCCTGTTCGATGTTCCGGTGTTCGTCTGTCGACTTCATTTTTTTCTCGTAACGTTGCTTTATGTCCGCGAGACTTCGACCTCGACGCTCGACCTGCGTAAAGGGAGCAACAGCCAAGGCCCAAGGGTGAAGGGCCGCGGGCTTCCTTTGTTAAGTCTTCAAGTTCACGGGGCACTCAATTTTAATTATTGGGCCAAATGCCTACTAAACCAACATATAGTATCTATATAGTAATTAATAGAAGGAATAATTATTTAAATGAGTAATATATATTTTGATTCGTATATATTTGATAATTGATTTTTTTCGTTTATATTTACCTCTTCAACTTTTTAAACTGTGCACATTTAATCTTTATGATCGGTTTCTCTAGGCAAGCCGGAAAAATAACATAATAATGTAATATATTTATGACTTTGTATAAATAAAATCTTTTATATTTTTTTGCACATTTAGTCATTTAGATATATATATATATATATATATATATATATATATATATATATATATATATATATATATATATATATATATATATATATATATATTACTTATGACCAGTTTTTTTTTAGTTTTTTCTAACAGCGTCCTATGTAGGATAATTATCAAACTGTTCCCCTTCTGTGAAAATATCCAAAGAAGCCATTGATGCCATGGCAAGCTGTCCAATGTATTATTCAAATAGCTCGCTCCCAACAAACATTGCAAAGATGGCAGCAGGATCAATGATTGCATCACTGTAATGAATCGAGAGAGCATAAATTTAAAATTCAGCAGAAATCAGCTATATAAACATCAAGAAGACACATATGAGTTTGTGCATGTTCACTATTCAGAATACCATAATCTCTACACAATATTACTCCAATATCTATAGTAAAAAACTACAAAACTGACGTTGAGATTCCTGATTTCCCATAAGCATCATAAGCCTATCTTTGCTCTGGATTACTCAGTACTTGGTAAGCTTCTCCTAACACCTGTAATAGAACATAAAAGTTTTAACTGAAAACAATAAAGTGAAGAAAACATTCTGAAAAAAAAAACTATATAAACATCTTATAAGATGTGGTTGAAAGTGTTGCCTGAAAATTTTGTGATGCAAGAGGATCATTTGGATTTTTATCTGGATGGACCTGTCGTGCCTGCAATCATACAAGCGTTAAAAATGTCATAAATTAGGGCCTTCATAGCATGGGGATAAGTGTTTGCTCATAAAGAATCAAATGCATGTTCCAGATGCTATCTTTACAAAGAAAATCTGCTACATTTTTGGAGTTCAAATATAATCCCTGATTCGAATTGTTAAGTAGAAATTGTGGGGAAAAGGAGAAATTTGTATTGTAACAACACAGTTTCTTGGTTTCTATTTGAGATTTGGTATGATTAGGGCAAAGTTACTAAGAGACATAACCTATATTGACTGTGCTAATGGGGATAGATTCAATGGGGGACGGTTCCAAAATACGTTGCTATTTCTCGAGGACCGGTTCCAACATCGAAGACCCGGCAAAAACCGGAACCAAAACCGGTAGAACCGACGGTCCGGTTCGGTTCTTAATTTTGGCCGACTTCGGTTCCCAGGTCGGGTCCGGTTCGGCTGGTTCCATCCGGGTCGGTTTCTTTGCTCATCCCTAGTGTTTTGAACGTCATAATTTCTTCATACGATCTTGGATTTTAACGGTCTTTATATCCACACGTTCATATTCGAGTCTATTGCAATTTTCGTTTAGATTACTCCCGTTAAAAAGTAATATATTTTTACTTACAATTTAAAAAAAAATCATACATACATTCATAAAGAACACATGGATATAAAGATCGTAACCAAATATATTACTTTTTAACGGGAGTAATCTAAATGAAAGTTGTAGTAGAATCAAATATGAACGTGTGAATATATAAGTTGTTGAAATTCAAGAACATATGGAGAAGTTATGACGTCTAGAACACAAGACCTAAGCCAAACCACAAGATCTAAGCAACAAAGCAGCCAAGGCAACGGTGGCCATAAGCATCAATAACTCCGAACACATTATTAATGATTGTATCAGGTATGATATCGTGAGAAAAGCCTAAAGAAACGAGTCATTTGAATGTATATAAAAACAACAAGGATATATTTTGCAATAAAAAATATTAAGGGCTAAATGTGCAGAAAAAAAATATTAAGGACTAAATGTGTACAAAGTGAGAATTATATTACCCTATTAAGTCGTTTTTTCTAGGATTATCCGGAATAGCTAGTCATACGGATTGAATGTGTACAATTTAAACAAGTTGAAGGGGTAAATGTGGATGAAAAAAAACTCAGTGACCAAATGTGTACAATTTGAAAAATCTATTACCCTTTTAAGTCGTTATCCCTTAATAGAAACGAGTATATTTATTTTATTTTGTAAAAAATAATCATTTTGTTTGGAACACAATGTTTCAAACTGATTTTAAAAATGTCATTAAACTAAAAAAAACATATTATCAAAGGATAACAAGCTATATGATTTGTATCTAAAATACCCGTATAATTGGTGGTAGCTGGTTTCCTAGGCCAAGCTGCCACTTTGGCATGCTAATGTGTCCAAAACAACACCACATTAGCAGCCACATTATCTGGCTTCATAGAATTTGTGGTTGGATTGAGTTGATCTCTTCTGGAAGTTCATATATTTTTGTTTATGTTTTCTGAACAACAACTTCTTTTCTAGTGATATATCTCTTTTTCGTTTGCTTATTTGATTACATATATGTGATGTGCTTTTGTTCCTTATTTGATTACATATATGTGATGTGCTTTTGTTCCAAGTGTATGATGTTTATTATATGTCTCTATTACATCTAGCGAAAAGTTTGTACTGTTCAAATATTGGTGATAGTTGTGACATCCCCAAATTTCTCGGCCAGAAAAGACTGATTTAGTTTATGCTTTTAAAATAAAATCAGAGTAATCTTCCAAAAGATATTGCGGAATTTGTTCCCAAAACAAAATATAATAAAAATTTATCAAATCGTTTCTTAAAGAAGTATATTTTCATTATATAACAAAACTTCGGGATGTCTTGTTCCGATACAGACCAAAAGCATAAATAGTATATTATAAGCCTTACAATAGTTATTTACAACTACTGGCCTATAATCCCAAAATCCCTCGTCATCATCCAAATTATGCTCTGGGTCCACTACCTGTAATACAGAAAGCTGAGTGGGTCAGGCTTGGGAGCCTGGTGAGCATATAGGGTTTTCAACCCACAAATAATAATAAATTTGTTAATTTCATCAACCAACAATAAATTTATTAATTTCATCAACCAAAAATAACCCTGATTACACGTTTCCGTTATCTTCACTTTACGTCCCTAAACACTTATCATAAGGGACCTAGCCTAAGGATTTTCATCGGGGTGACAACACTGCTTTAGGGATTCCTCAGCAATTTATGTTAAATAAGGCAACCATGTGGGGGACGGAGTATACCATTGAACATTAAATTCACAAACACCTACAGGTTGCGAGCCTGCTAGCGTTCCACAGGACTGTCTAGAAAGGTATGTGGTCGTCATCTATACTCCGTTAGATGACTGAAACAATAACAATACCGAGGCTTCTCATCATTTTAACACACATCAACTATTTCATCTACCCATGTTTTACCCAACATATTTGTAGATAAAAATAAATATACAGTTTAAAACTTGTATAAAACATTTATTCAACACCCATCTCAAATAAACAAACAATATAATTACACATAGCACGTATTTTATAGAAAATACTTCATATTTATGTGTAAGATGAAAGTGACTACACACTCACCTTATTTAACGATAATCGGGCAACACTTCGTTTCTTTAAACAAACTTTTTCGATAAATCTGGGATGTTTTCCCAAAAACTGGGCTTCACGTGGGCAGAGTTTCGTCTCGAAAACTCTTTTTCTCGGGATCTTCGGGCTCTCTGGGACTTGCTTACGATGCTAGGATGATATAATAGGCTTGGGGGTAATTTTTGCAATATAGAATTAAGTATAGGGGTGAAAGGATGAAAATTGTAACATCAATTCGGCTGGAATCATCCACTATTTATAGGGGCTGAACATTCGAGTTACGCTGGGCGTAAATTGAGAGTACGCTGGGCGTACTCCTTCTTCAACCAGTACGCTGGGCGTACATCGAGTACGCTGGGCGAATGAAGGGATCACATCGGACGCATCAAGCCTAAGACACGTGGCTCTCATGCGAAGGAGTAGGGGAGGTGACGAACTCCGGAACACTTACACGAGTACGCTGGGCGTAATCCGAATTTTCAAACTTCAAAAATTCGTAACTTTCGCATACGAGCTCCGTTTTTTATGTTCTTTATATCCACGCGTAGGTGATACTGTGCTCTACAACTTTTGTTTAGACTCCGTCGGCTAATTTTGACTTTAATTTTAAAGTTATATTTTTAACAGGCCGGGACAGGAAAAGTCCGTTAAAAATTCATAACTTCTTCATCCGACGTCCGTTTTCGTCTGTCTTTTTACCGTTGAACTACTATCAACAAGATCTTCGATTCTCACTTAGGTTGTTTCGACTAAAAATCACTCGAACTAAAATTCGAGTTTCGGGCTGCATACTGCTAAGCTGAAACTTAGAAAAATCATAACTTCCTCATACGAAGTCAGATTTGGGCGTTCTTTTTATGCACGCTCTCGGTTTAACGAACACTACGACTTTCGTTTAGATCGCTAAGGCTAAAAAGCACTTTATCGTAAATTCACTTTTTACGTCATACATCGTCGTGCCAGTTTTGTCGCGAAACTTCAACAGGTCATAACTTCTTCGTTATAACTCGGATTTCGGTATTCTTTATATCTCCGGAATCCTTGTTTCAACCACTACAACTTTCTTCATAGATATCGGGTTTATCTAATATTTATTTTCGACGCTTATTTTTTTATCCTTAATTCATTAAATTATAATAATTAAGCATAAAATACATAATAATCAAATAATACATCTTATTAATTCAAAACAAGTTACAAAGGTTGGCCTACACTATTACATCATCATTAATGCATAGCCTAGAAACACGGGCGTTATAAT